TTAATAATATTTGACTAATTTTGAACTAAATATATATAATTTATAAGAAAATGGTCAAATAAGTCCGAACAAGTATTAATAGTGCAATTAGGCTCCTGATCTTAAATCAAAGAACAGAAGACGCACTACTGGAAATTATGATATTTTCGACCACCTGAAAGTGATCTTAAATCAAGTTGATACCAAAAAGTGGTCGGAAATAGCAACAAAAATTTTCCCGGATACCAAAAGTGGTCGGAACAAGGCTTTCGACTTGATTTAAGATCATTTTCGCGTGGTCGAAAATTCCATAATTTCCAATAGTGACGGAAGAAGGCATTTTCCACTCAAATCAAGCTAGGATGTTGTAAATGGTTTCTCAAAGACATTCACTACTATCACTTCACCAAGCTACAAAACAGTCTTTATTGAATCTTTTCATGGAAGATCATCCTTGGAAAGAGCTCATACGAAGAAGAATAAAAAGATTTGTTAGGCACATTGCTACTTATTTGACACCTACAAGTCTACACACAAGAAAAATTGGTGATAAGTAGACAAGTTCTTTTGAACCAAAGTGTGCGTATACACTAATAGAAAAAAGTCTTGACCCTATGGTTCATAAGTTGCACAAGTCGATCGAGGGATTTGGAAACGAATTTTTTGGTGATTGTGGAGCTTCTGAGCAGGTACTACTTATTGAGCGAAAACAAAAAAAAAATTCAAATTTTAAGTTGGCGTTTACCTCTCCTCATCTATAAAAAGGAGAACCCCAAATTTAGAAGAAGAAGCTAGGAAAACTATTTACGGTGATCAAAGTACTGAAAGCTATTGAAAGAGAAACTTGATGCATTGCAAAATCAAGGATTCTAAGCCTAAAGAATAATCACTTTGATTCTTTCAAAGTCCAACACTCAACAAATATCATATTTCCTGGCAAAGGAATTGAAGTTGGAAGATCATTCTAGCAAGGCGACTTGGTGATTAACTATTGATTAGTTCTTGATCAGGCAATGAAGGATAAGTTAACGAGACTCTCGTGGCTATCTCAATGATTGCCAATCGGAAGAAGTTGATGGCTTCTCTTTCACTTGTATTGTGCAATTCATTCATTATGAAATCTTCATTGGTGATAATGGAGAAGAGTAGAATAGTAAATTTCTCCGAACCACTATAAAATCAATCTTTTTCTTGCACTTTACATTTTCATTACTTCTACTAAGCAACTAACCTCATACTCCCTACACACTTTAATTCCACAATCAAGTTATATGTTATGCCAACACGTACTATAATGAAATCCACATTTCCAATTCCCTTTCCTGTCTTCACCCCTCTTAAATTAATGTACTTTGCTAATTTTATAAACGCAATGGGCAAATTTCTGCAAAAATAATAATATAAATAAAAAATTTATCCATTGCGTCATCGGATCTCACCTCAAATTTGTGAAAAATCCAATTTTTATCACCAATGTCCCAGCCAAACACTGCCCATGGACTTGTGTCATTTAGTGTCACATTGGAGAAGTGTCTGCAACAATATTATATCCACACAGCATAAATTAATGGGAAAAATCCAAATTAAAAAATAAAAATAAAAAGGATAGCACAAAGATGTTTGCAACTCCTAGACCTAGTTTTGTTCATCTTCAGTGAGAGCATTAAAAGTGCCAGAGGAGATACTTCCCAATACAAATAAAGAAGAAGAAGGTAAGGCAGTATAATAATGGTTAAAAAAGGATCCCAAACATAAAGAAATGAATATTTAGGCATTGATTTAGCCTAGGGTTTTGGAAAGTGGGGGTTGGGGTGGTGGGGAGTCAAAGTGCATATATGAGGCTGTGGAGGAAGACACAATAAAAACCTTAGATGCCAGACAAAGTTGTTGAAAGATTAGAAGGGAATATTTGGGAGTATGATAAGGGAATTAGAAGGTAATGTAGTGTGTGTATGTATGTATGTGTGTTTTTTTTTTTTTTCTTTTTTCTTTAGGTTTATGCACATGCACATACTTCACCACACATATTTCAAACTATACAGTACTCTCTACTACAAAACAAATACCCCTTTGTAGCGCTCTCTCTCTCCCTCTCAAGTCAATGGGTCTACTTGTACTTTATGTTCATACATATATATTCGTGTACATGTACTAATATATTACTATATGCATATATAATATATACTAGCTAGATGTGTGTGTATTGTATTATATATACTTATGTGTAAAAGAAAATTTTTAGTGTCATTGTCTTCGGTGTCTCTACTAAAAACAGTAACAGTATAAGAATATTTCAGTCCTAACAAGTAATTGAAAAAAAAAAAATCTATCACCCAAAATTATTCCGATATTCAATTTCTTTTTAGACATGACAATCTAGATCAGAGCAAGAGATAACGAATTTTTTGTACCACTAGTTTGGAAGAAATCACATCTTTTCATTGTCATTTTAAAATTTAATATGATTAAAATATAGTTGTCTTTTTCATTTTTGAGGTACTAGACTAGGTGATATAAAAAAAAATTTATTATATATATATATATATATATATATATATATATATATATATATATATATATATATGCTTAGGATCGGAGAAAACTAAGAACAAATCTCGACTTTACTTCTATAAAAATTTGACGGATCTAATCAGATTAAAAAAAAAATGCGGTGACATTTTCGTAATTATCATCAATTTCACCATGCAAACTTTAACACTTAAATATGCAATCTTTTACAACTAACTATGCAAATTTGGTTATAATCCTTCACTTGACAAGGCAACTTTTGGAGTAGTATTGTTCTCACACTCGGGAGTCTATTTGGCAGCCATAAACGGAGTTCTTCCGGCTTGCACGAGCCCTATTATGGAAGAGACCCTTGCATGTAAAGAGGCCTTGTCCTGGTTGAAAGACCGTATGGGCACTTTTGTCCTCTTGAAGACTAATTGCTCTTCCCTTCATCACATTCTTACCACCCCTACGATAGAGCTTCGGTCTTATGTTGGTATTGCTGCAAGCGACTGTAGGAACATTATACACTCTCTTTCTGTAGGAACATTGTACTGTTACTCTTGTTTCTAGAAGTGCTAATACCCTAGCTCATACTTTAGCTTCAAAGGCCTATTCTCACCCAGAATTATTGTATTGGGACTCTGTCCCTCCTGACTTTGTTTCAGATCTTTTACAGTAATCCATTTCTCGCTTTTGCTTTCAAAAAAAGAAAAGAAAAAAAAAACTATGCAAACCTGGTAAATTTTATAAAATCAATAAAAAAAAATTAAATTTTAAATATAAACCATAAATGCTAGACCCTAAGTATTAAAAAGTGAAATATTAAACCAAATAAAACCAAAAAACTCAGTCAATAAAATCAAAACTCTAAGTGCAATGCACTTTCGTATTTTTGTAAGTACAATCTTTTAATACTAAACATGCAAAATGTGCAAACCTTGAAAAGTCTAAAAATTACAGATTTTGGTGCTCATGTTTGCATAGTAAAGTTGGTGATACTTACGAAAATGTCACCGTGTTCAGTTTGTTGTGCATTCTGTCCCAGTTTGTTGTGCATTCATAGTGTGATTGATGTGCATCAATCCCACTTTGTTGTGCAGTCCGTTTTTGTTTTGTCATAGCCTTTAGATCACTCCAAATGAATGATCTGGATTAGTCCTCACGTCCTCACCTAAGGATAAGTCCTCACCTGATTTGAAACATATATATATATATATATATATATATATATATATATATATATATATATATATATAGAGAGAGAGAGAGAGAGAGAGAGAGAGAGGGGAAGGATAAGTGAGAATGAGCGTCCAACTGCAAATGCAAAACTGTAATGTGTATTAGCCTATTAACCTTCTTGATTTGATCGAGTCATAATTAGCTATATGGGCATCTTAAGTTGGCTTACCTCTTTGTAATCCTTTGTCGATTAGGGTCACAAGAGAAGGTTTACTCAGTACGCACTTTTGGGTAGTGGCTACAAGTTTCCCTTGTCACTCAACAAAAAGTGCACTATGTAATACTACAAAATAATGCATCCTATTACATGTAAAAGTGCATTCAAGAAATGTACATACTCTAAAAGTGCACCATGCAGAACTACAATTTGCAATTTTGTGCAGTGCACTTTCACACTAGCTTGAGTGTGCTTTTTGACCTGATCCGTCTCTTATATATATAAAAAGTGGCTAGGGTCTCTTAGTTTTGGTGGTAGATGGGGGTAATAAACCAAATTGGGGAATGGATCCTCATTTTGGTCACATTATTAAAAATCAAAATACTTGACTAATGATCCAAATTGATGTTGGATGTGTTTATAGTAAGAGGTTGGAGTTGGTGTGTTGGTAGAGTAGGGCCGGGGTAAGTTAAAAAGAGAAGAGAAGAAAAGAAAAGAGAAAGAGAGAATTGAAGAAGTAGGTTGCGTTGAATAATAACATTATCCTTGCTGCCCATTCTATAGCATGGAAATGGAACGCCTTTAAAATTCATTAATGTCCTGGAATGATAAAGGAAGAAATATATGTGCAGTAAAAAAGTAAATGAGATGGAGAAAGAAAAGACAAGAGGTAGTAGAGAAGAATTGAAGAAGCAAAGAGGGTGGGGGAAAAAGAATCACAGAGAGGAGTCTCTTTCTCTCTCAACCATTTTTTTAACCCGTCCTCTACGGGGAAGTAATCGAAAAGGAAATCAATCAAAAAGTGACCCTTTATCTTTTTTTTCTTTCTTTTTTTTTTTTTTTTAATTTGATGAGAAATAATAATTTTATATATATATATATTATTATTATTATTGCATTTGCAGCTGTTTTGCTTGTTTTGACTAGTGAGTATAGATGGATAGAGAGACCTCATTGTTCTAGTGTCATTTTCCGAGATATACTCTCGAGGAACACCACACCCAAATCCTCCCCCCATTCCCTTCTTCAATTCTCCTCCTTTTCCATTCCATTCCATTCCTTTCTGGAATTCCTTTTCTTTTTCTCTTTAATTTGAAACTTCTTTCTCTCTCTCTCTCTTTATCTCTCTTTCTTTCTCCTTCAATCCTCTAAAGCTGCATCTTCACTAAATCAAGAACCTGCACGTACAAAAGAGAGCTGCTTCTATCTAGCTAGCTTTGTAGAAAAGAAAAGGCAAAAGGGAGCTGGGAAGGTGAGGTAGCCATTCTTGCAAGTTTTGTTGAGAGAGAATACAATATATAAAAGAAAGAAGGTGAAAACATGCCCTTAGAAGGGGTTTTCATTGAACCCTCCTCTCGTTCTAACCCTCTTCCCGATCTTTCTCTCCACATTAGCCCGCCCAACAACACCATATCGTCTTCCCGGCCGTCGTCTTGTATCAATGAATTGGTAGCCGCCGCCGCCGGATTCGATCTTCCCACCAACCACCGCCGCCACCGTCAAACGGACAACAACACTAGTACCTCCGCCGCCGCCGCCGTGTACCCGGAGCTGTCGTTGGCGAACCCGACCGCCACCGCAGCGGAGGAGAACCGGTTCTTGAGAACCGGGAGGGAACAACAACAACAACATCAGACTTTACAAACTTATCCTCAACCTTATCATCTCCAAACGCATACTTTTCAACAGAATAATAGTAATAGTAATAACAGCAGTTGCAGCCAGATGAGCAACATAAATCATGGGGTTTCACTGTTGGATGTATCCGACGGTTTGCGGCCCATCAAGGGCATCCCGGTGTATCAGAACCGTTCCTTCCCTTTCCTCCCCATGGACCGAGAAAACAAGGATCCCAGCAAGATGTGCTTCTACCCAATGCCGCCGCCGCCGCCGCCTACCGCCTCCATTTCCCACTCTCCTTCCCCCTTCTTTAACCCCGTCGTCGATCATCTATCCCTCTTGAACAACCCCTCTCCTTCCTCCTCCTCCTCCTCCGCCGCCGCCGCCGCAGCAGCTTACCGGAGATTCAACGGCCTCTCTTCCGCTTACCAGCTGCCCCACAACCAGTACGGCGGAGTTGGAATCGGAGCCACCGCAGCTTCTCACCACCATCACCACCACCCTCACCACGATGCTCCGCCGTCTCACGGGATGATGATGAGATCGAGATTTCTCCCTAAGCTTCCCGCGAAGCGAAGCATGCGGGCCCCCAGAATGCGCTGGACCAGCACCCTCCACGCCCGCTTCGTCCACGCCGTCGAGCTCCTCGGTGGCCATGAAAGTGGGTAAACAAATAAATCTTTAATTTAATAATTTCTTTAATTAATTCCCCCCCTTAGCTTTTCTTGTTCGCGATTTGATGATTTGATTTTATTATATATATAGGGGCAACTCCAAAATCAGTACTGGAACTAATGGATGTCAAAGATCTCACTCTAGCTCATGTGAAGAGCCATTTGCAGGTAAGAGCAAAACTTAAAGATAGAAAAAGAAAAAGGGAATATCTTTCAATCCCTCTCTCTCTCTGGGGTGGGTTGAGCTGAGTAGCTCCGGCACAGTAGCCGATGAGTGCAGTGAATGAATGAATTAAAGAATACACAGTAAAAGAAGTCTGATTTTCTGATGGCAGAGATAGAGAGAGAGAAAGAATAGTGTAACAGACAAAAGTAAGTCATCATTTCTCAATAATACAGCCTAGCCGTATTAGAGTAGTAGTGTTTATTGTTTATTGTTACTACCTCCTTATCAAACATCGACCTCGTGACTAATGACCAGAAAAAAACAACATTTTCAGTACTTCACAACCTCAGATTTATGCCTGCACGCACCAAAACTCATCACACTCTCTCTCTCTCTCTATATATATATATTGAAGTATATGTATGTATTCTAGCTGTGAAGAGAGATGGAGGGCTTGATTATATTTTAGTTGTTCTTAGAGCAACCCAAAAGCTATTTGATTTGGTTTTGAATTTAATTTGCAAAATGGTTTCCCAATGCAGATGTATAGAACTGTTAAAACCACTGACAAGCCTGCTGCTTCCTCAGGTAATTCATACTTTGATAATTTTAGTCTCTTTTTAGCCTAATCATTATTGCATATATATATTCATGCAGTTTTTTTTGTTTTTTATTCACCATACAACTCCAGAAATGCATGCATTATTGCATTACCAGATAGATATTGTAGAGGAGATTGAAATTCAATTCAAGTATTTTGTTTTTTTATTTTTTTTCGTTGGTTTTGAAGGGCAATCCGACGGGTCCGGAGAAGAAGATCTCACCGTGCTGGGAAGCACCGCCGCAGGCGGCGGCGGGATTCGGCTCATGGATCAAAGAGGGCATCCGGCGGCGGCGGTGGCGGATGGGTCGTCGGAACCGGATTTCCCTAACTCCACAACCACCACTCTATGGAGCAACTCTTCAAGGTAAGATTATCAGATCAGAAACCATTGATTGAAATTAATGGAGTGAGTAGTATCATTTAAGTTTCTTGAATTGTCTTTTACACTTTTTGAAAAGAAAATGGAAAAATCTTTAGCGAATAAAACGCGCACGTACAATCTGCACCAGCAGATAGCAGGTGACTTTTAAGAGTAATGGAAATTTGAATATAGAGAGAGAGAGAGAAAGGGATTAATTTCATTCCCTTTTTCTTTTGCATGAATCTCATCAGAAATGCAAACGCACGTCCACCATTTTCTCAGCAACAAAAAGCTTCCTCTCTCTCCCCTCCCCTCCCCAGCACCTTCAGCTTTTGCTTTTCTTGTCTTTCATCTCTTTTAATACCATTCTCCATCTCATAAATCCCTCTATCTATCTATCTATCTATCTCGTACCTAGTACAACATATACCTTTCTACTGTACATATATATATGTATATATGTATATATCTATCTATCACTTACTGCAACACATATTTTGGACCATATTTGCGTAGTGTTAGTTGATGGAGTCACTGTGATTTGGTCTTGTCTGCTGAGTCATTGAGTCACGATAACTTACATCCTTCTAAATGGGACTCTTAGGGTTGGGGATTCAGTCTTTTGGGAGAGGAAAGAAGTAATGATGGAATGGTGATTAAGTGGAGGGTTAATTAAGAAAGTAAAAAAGCAAACCATTGCCTCACTTTTTCAGTCTAGTTTTTTTTTTTAATAAATATAAATTAATGCATTTTGTGTTTATTCTGTTCACGAGGTGATTTTAGCATATATGAGCAGAAAGGGACCAGAATCTTGACTTAAGTGCTCTCCTTTTCTCAAAGTAGTATTTATATAAGCCATCCATTGTTTTTGTGTGCGTGTGTTTGTCTTTGTGTGTCTTTTGATTCAAAAAATAGACATGCCCGCACAGTCTATATATCATATATGTGTGTGTATATATACACACACATATACATTACATATATACATACACACCCACATATACATATAGAGAGAGAGTTCAACCTTATTTGGAATTTTGGATCCATAATCTTCTCTAAAATGTCTTTAGTTTTGTCTGGATTCTTGCCCTCTTCCCCAAGCTAATTATATTCTCTATCTTGTCTTTTTAATTACTTTTAGATTTTATATATATATATAGTTTTTGTGTGTGTAATAATTAGAAAAATCCTAGGGTACTGGATCAACCAAAAAAAAATGTTTCTTGCAATAATCATATATCATACATTATGGATATATAACACCCAAATACATATAACTTAATATATATCCCCCCACACACACATATATACATATATATGGACTTGCTTCATCCACCGTCTCCTGTCTCCAGGCTGGAGCGGTGAAAAGTCCCTAAGTTTAAACTTTATAAGTGTGTGTGGACGATATTTTGGATTTCAATCTGGGATGGGTCTCAAAGGGCTAGTTGCTAATATGAATATATGATTAATTAGAGATTCTGTTTAATGTTCCCTTCTTATTATGTTTAAGAGAATTCAATTATATTCAAAAAGAATTTTGTGCTAAATTTTTCAGCAGCAGAGAAGCATGGCTACAAACTAATAGTTCCCAGGAGAGCAATGGGTTGATCAGATCATCATCCTTTCCAACACAACAAAGATGTGGTCACCCAATCGACGTAAGCACACAAAACCTCTCATCATATAAAGTGTCTCATACTTATGCTACTGAACTATATATATGGTTATCGAATTGAATGTAATATAGTGCTTTAATTTAGCCATATTTTTACAAATTTATTTTGCAGGACTGTGAAAAGAACCCTAGTTTGGAATTCACATTAGGCAGGCCAGACTGGGTCCAAAAGGAGCGTGACTAAAACAACATTATTGAACCAAACCGAGCTACTCGATCAATCCACTATCCGCTATCGTCTGGTTTTGGGTTTTACTAATTAGGTTATTCTTTTTGTTTTACTTCTTCCTTTTGGTTTTTTTGGGAATGAATTGAAAAAAAAGGAATGCATTATTCGATATATATAAATATAAAAAAGAGGTATTTCTAGCTTGAACTGCTCCATCCCATATATATATATATATATACTTGCATTCTCAGCCGACAGACAGCCAAGGTTTTAACATACTAAAACAGCCATGCACGTAAACCTCCTCCTCCTCCTCTTTGTAGTTTTCTTTTCCCTTATTTTTTGTTTTTGGCTTCGTCTGCTGAATTACTAGCTTAGCTGAAATGCAGTTTGAAGATATATATATGGGAGAGGGGGGGAGGGTGAAGAAGATGATGTATGCATGGCGGAGTATATATATTTTGCTAATGTTTGAGGTCAAGGAGATTTTCAATACAAAGAAGAATTGAGTTTTTGGAAATGAAGATAATGTTGTCTGCTGACATTAATTCATTGGTTGCATTATATTGTGGTATATATATTATATATATACAATATACAATAATTAACTTGTATATATTTGTTTTTGTATGTTACCATTTGGTGATAATAATCATAGAGAACTAAGGTCAAGATGATCACATTTCAATATAACTTTTGTCATAATGCCATATATAAATTCACAAATAAAAAATAAAAAATCTCTTAGTTAAATTTTTTTTAGATGTGAACCCAAAAAGAAAACAAAAAAAAAAAAAATATTAATACTCCAAACATATATGGATACTCTTTATATTAGGCATTGGAGGAAAGAAAAAATAAAAATAAAAATAAATGTCGAAACTAAAATTCATTGTTCCTCATCTCGATCTTATAGTATCACAAATAATCCACGTCACAAAACTATCTTTTCTGTTTGGCTAAAAGTTAAGAAATTGTATTTATTTCTGTTTGGTTCATATTTTGAAAGCGAACATATAATAATAATAATAATAATAATAATTATTATTATTATTATTATTATTATTATTATTATTATTATTATTATTATTATTATTATTATTATTATTATTATTATAGTGATGGTGGTGGTGGTGGTTGTGTCGTGGTGGTGGCCTGGTATTGGTGTTAGTGGTGGTGGTGGTGGTGGTGGTGTCGTGGTGATAGAGGTGGTGGTTGTGTGGTGGTGGTGGTGGTGATAATGATAATAATAATAATTTGAAAAATTAGCTTGGAGAGAATTGAAAGAAAAGAGAGACATGAAAATAAATTATCCGAAAAAATATCTTCTGACTAAAAATATAATCTAAGAAGAAATTTTTCACTAAATTGAACCTTTTTCCATTGACCAGAATGATTATTTTTCTTTGACTTTATTTTCTTTGAGTAGCCAAACACGGAAAAAAAATAATAATAATAACTTCCGAAAATCATTTTTCGAATTGTCAAACGGAGCTGCAGTGTACTTATTTTTTGTGGATTGGAGTTGTATGTGACACTATTCCAAGAGTTCTACTACGTGTACTCCCTAATCTTACCCCCTAAATTTTACTCCCTGATGTGACGGATTCTGATAAGTTATTTTTTTCATGTAGGTCCCAATACAAGTGTCTACATCAAAGTTTTGTGTTTGGGAGTACAAAATGGGAGTACATGTAATATTTTCCCTGTTCCAATTCGGTCTCGTATGTGACACTGACACCCAATTGATCCTCTATAAAAAAAATGGTTAGAAGAAAGATAGGAGTCAGTCAAATTATCTATGAAGTCAGTGTACTATAATATTTTGTCCAATTTAGTCCTTGTACTATACCTTTATTATGTTCAATTTAGTCTCTCTACTTTAAAAAGTGGTGAAACTAATTAAGGACAATTGTCTAAATCTCATTAAGAACATGGTTGTAATTATTTATTTTGGATATACTAATTTAATATATTGGTGGTAAAAATAATTAATTTTAAATACTTATAAAGTAATATATGAGTAAGAATATTAATATCGTCAGCGCCACGTAACCTAAGTTAACGGTAATATTAACACCATTAATTATTGCCGTTAATTGCACCACTTTTGAAAGTACAGAGACTAAATTGAACAAAATATAATGTTATAATACAGGGATCTCGTAAGTACTTTTATCTCTGAACACCTATTGAATGTGTTAGCCAACCAGTCAGTAGCCTAATTATGCGTTATATATATAGCCATATGCAATATGTTCTTCAATTCCCTAATCTGGTAAATGGAATAGCTAAAAGGTCATGAATTTTAACAATAAATTAATATTTTAGTTAAAATAGAACACATATTTCAACTATATACAATTCGAAACATGACCTATATTGCTCTACATGTATCACACTTGAAAGTTGAAACAACACATAAATTGTTGTTAATCTATCGAAACCTTACCCATCAAAAACTCCGATCCATTTTATAAAAATATGAAAACTGAAATTCACTCTATAGTGTACGTATATTTCGTGGAGTATATTTTTAAATAAAGCATTATATTAATTAATTATATATGCACATACATACTATGTAAAAATAATTACAACAATGGTTAAATAATTCACTTTGCCCCTGATGAGAAATATACCCTTGTATATACGATCGTGTACCTACTTTGTACGTACAGTCCCTGATGAACATTTCCCAACCGGATCCGACCAGAAAGGTCCCGACCCGACCTAAATTAAGGACCGGTCTTTCTCTCGGGTGCGAGCCCTTATTTTATGGCAGCATAACCTAAGCTCGGTTTCGACATCCATGCTCTTATTGGATTTTCTCCCGCAAAACCCCTCTGCCTATCAGTTTGCCCGACCTCACTGCATGTGAGTTTATCAGGAATCATTGCTCACGTGGACGCATGTGTCCCCTCTCAACCTCTATAAATACTACATTAAATACTTAGGAGCCTACTGTCATTTGTTCCCGAGCTCGATTACAATAATCACTATATCACTTAAACCGTATATCCAGGTGTATTCGATCACTACATCAGCCCCTTAATTATTCCATAACTATTTTACTCTCATTAAATGACGTATTGGAGGAAAAAAAAAAAAAAAAACTATAATAGAATCAAATGATGACCATATTGCTTATAAATTAATGAAGAAATTTTAATTTTGGTCTTATGACTATAGGGGTTTTGTCAATTTCAGTCTCTGAGTTTTAAAAATGTCAATTTAGTACCTTAACTATGCAATTTTTGTCAATTTTGATCACTCCGGACAAATTCCGCCAGAAAATTTTAATTGTTAAAATAATGAGAGTATTTTGATCATTTCACATCTTTTTTCTTCTTCCCAGGCGAGTCCATTCATTCCTCTCCCATTTCCGGCGAATGCAATGAACTAAGATGATGGGGAAAGGATGCTTGATGATATTAAAGATAGGATTTACAGGGAGAAAGAACGCCAGAAACGGGAGAGAAAGAGATGGACTCGCCGGAGAAGAAGAAAAGAGGCGTGAAACGACCAAAATATTCTCATTATTTTAATTATTAAAAATTTTCGGCGAAATTTGGCCGACAATTTGACCGGAGTGACCAAAATTGACAAAAATTGCATAGTTAAGGTATTAAATTGACACTTTTAAAAGTCAGGGGCTAAAATTAACAAGACCCCTATAGTTATATGACCAAAATTGAAATTTCCTCTAAATTAATTTATAAAAATTTATCCTTCAAAAGTATATATACAATTTGTAAAAATAAAATATTTTAATTTAATTCGAAACATATTGATTACTCCGTACTATGTACAGCAGTACCGATCAACGAAAAGTATAATTAATTAAAACTTTTTATCAATTACTATAATTCAAAAAATAAAAATAAAAATAAGGCATTATCTAATATAGAAACTAATAGTTTTTAATGAATATGAACCATGTGTTTTCTCTCTAGCTTCTCTCTAGATAGCTAGCCTTTCTTCTTGCTCTCTGTAGCAAGCCTCTCCTTTCTTTCTTCATCCTTCTTCCCTCTCTGTTTCTTTGTTTTTCTTCGCTCGTTCACCATGTCTGAGCACGATCCAAGCTCATCCATCCCAACCGAAGTTCCCATACCTCCTCTGGAGGAGGCCTATGCTGCCCTCGACATCAACGCTGATGATGAATCTGATGGTCTCGACCTTGGTTTTGAGGAAGATGTCGACCCAATCACTGATTTCAGCCTCACTCTTGTTGGGAGACTTATGACGGACAAGATTGTCAAGTTTGCTTTTATGAGGGATACCATGGCTGCCGTGTGGCGTCCACGCATGGGTGTGGCTGCTAAAGAGCTCATCAACAACACCTACCTCTTCCAGTTCTTCCACGACATTGACATGCAGAGAGTCCTTGAAGATGGACCATGGTCCTTCGAACAAAACTTACTAGCCCTAGCCAAAGTTCAACCGGATATCCCCCCTATAGTAACACCGCTCGACACTGCTAATTTTTGGGTTCAACTACATGACCTCCCCCTGGGGTTTTTTTCAGAGAAAACATTTGCGGCTATCGGCAATTTCATAGGCGAATTCATCAGGATTGACGACGGTGCTTTCTCAGGATGGTTCAAAACCTTCGTTCGCATACGGGTCAGAATCAACATCACCAAGCCCCTTATTAGCCAGATGAGAATCAAGCGTAATGGAGGTGACTGGAGCTGGATTTCTTTCCGGTATGAAAGACTCCCAAATTTCTGCTTCATCTGCGGACTAATAGGACACACGGAGAAATTTTGTATCAAACTGTTCGAAGGATTTCCCCCAACGGCAGACAAACCATTTGGACCATGGTTGCGAGCACAAAACCGTCGACCGTCGCCGGTCGCCGGGAATAGATGGGTTATCTCTGATCAAACCGAGCGCATCACGACAACATGGCCTCAGAGGCAGGACAATGGTACGACCACGATCCCAGTACCTCCGTGTGCTCAGAGTGCTGCTGCTCCCACAAGCCAACACGTGGCCCCTACCACGACTGATCATGCCACGTCCAGCTGCTGCGATCCCAAGGACATCAATATGGAGCAGGTTGTTTACCCTAATCTCACTGAGGGCTTGGTTATTACGGATCAGAAGCGTAGAAGGCTTGATCCATCTGGGCCTACTGAGGAACCCACTTTTGGGCCTAATATTGAGCCCAATTCTTTTATTGATCTGAATGGGCCGGTTACTAGTCCAAAAAACTTGCAAAGGGCGGGACCTGTGATTCAGGCCCGCCCAGTTCAATGAGTCTCTTGTCTTGGAACTGTCGTGGGCTTGGGAACCCAAAGACAGTTCAAGTCCTAGTGGACCTAGTCCACTCAAAGAGACCCAACATTATTTTTTTAGCTGAAACTTTTGCAGGTCCAAACAAACTTCACCCCATCCGCAACAAATTAGGATACCTGGGTCTTTTCTATGTAAAAAATGAAGGCCATAGCGGTGGTCTTGCTCTCTTCTGGAAGGATGGCACAGAAGTCACCATACGTTCCTACTCTAAACACCACATCGATGCTATTGTTTCTCTGAACGCCGGAGACTCTATATGGCGCTTTACCGGTTTCTATGGGGCACCTGATAGACATGAGCGACAACAATCCTGGTCCTTACTCAAGCGATTAGCTACCTCCAGCACACTACCATGGGTAGTCATGGGAGATTTTAACGATGTGCTTCACCCTGAGGAGAAACGCGGCGGGAATCCCCAACCCATGAGATTAATCCGAGGCTTTCGAGAGGCAGTTGAAACAAGTGGTTTGAAAGACTACGCCTTTGATGGTTACCAATTCACCTGGGAGCGCTCAAAAGGTACCCCTACTTGGATTGAAGCAAAATTGGATCGAATCCTTGTCACAGATTCTTGGTGTGAGATGTTTACAAGTGCTAAGGCTTGCTCTGTCACCACTCCGAAGAGCGACCACATGCCTCTCCATCTACAAATTCTGCCGCCCCCAATTCATAATCCTAGTATCAGATACCGGTTCGAAAATCTATGGTTACGTGAAGCACATTGCAGGGAGGTTATGATTGATAGCTGGTCTAAATCTCATGGTCAGGACCTAATGAACAGAGTGGGCCGCTGTGGAAAAGCTATATGGATTTGGGGGAAAAATTTCGCACGAGACTTTCAGCGCCGTCTGGATTTCTGGCGTCGGCGTATGGAATCTACTAAGCACAGACGTGACCAACTAGGCATTTCTCAGTTTTCTGAAGCCCAAGCGCAATATCTTCGCGTCCTTCAGCAACAAAGTGACTATTGGCGTCAAAGGGCAAAACAATTTTGGCTAAAGGATGGAGATACCAATTCCAGCTTCTTCCACAAGTCAGTCCGTCGAAGACAACAAGCAAATCGGATAACTAAGCTCAAGGATAGCAACGGGAATTGGGTCGAAGGAGGTACTGCTCTGGATTCTCTCATTACTTCTTATTTTCATGATTTATTTTGCTCTTCTCTGGATATTATGAATGCTGCTGCCGACTGTATTGTGCCTCTAATTAATGCTTCCCATAATGCTTCTCTGAGCCGAACTGTTACCTTCCAAGAAGTAAAAGATGCTTTGTTTGATATGAAACCGGATAAATCCCCAGGCCCGGATGGTCTTAATCCGGGTTTCTTCCAACACTTCTGGGATATAATTGGCAGTGAATTGCACCATTTTTGTTCAGATTTCTTTCGAACAGGAAAGCTCCCAGTCAGCCTCAATTCTACCTATATTGTCCTCATCCCAAAGAAAACCAAACCTGACTCAATGGGCGATCTAAGACCTATTGCTCTATGCAATACCCTCTACAAGCTTCTATCTAAGGTTCTAGCAAATCGCATTAAACCTTTGTTGGCAAACATTATTTCTGAATCCCAATCGGCCTTTGTTCCGGGAAGACTTATCTCCGATAACATCATGCTAGCCTTTGAGTTGAACCACTACCTCAAACGAAAGAGCCAAGGGAATACAGGTTATGTGGGGGTTAAACTGGATATGAGCAAGGCTTTTGACAGAGTTAATTGGTACTTCCTGTTAAAAGTCATGGAAAAAATGGGCTTCTCTAGTCACTTTGTGAACTTGATTCGAGAAATGATCTCAACTGTCAGATATACCATTCTTCTTGAAGGAAGGGCAATTGGTACAGTAATCCCTAATCGTGGCCTCAGACAGGGTGATCCAATGTCACCATATCTCTTCATTCTCATCCTTGAATCTCTCCACCTTTTGATCCAAAAATCCCAGACTTCCGGGCTGCTCCATGGCATATCCATAGCCCGAAGAGCCCCAACTATAACAAATCTCTTTTTTGCAGATGACTGTTATATATTTTGCAAAGCTACTCCATCTGAAGCCGCAGCTCTCAAAAACATCCTTGAAACCTTCACCTCTGCCTCTGGCCAATCTGTGAACTACACAAAATCTACCCTTTCCTTCAGCAGAAACACATGTACCAACTCCAAGACTGCCTTTTGCAATATTATGGGCATTAGAGAGGGCAATCTGAATGGAAGCTATCTTGGCCTACCCTCTATCATTGGTCGTAACAAACGTGAAATTTTGGGTTTCATTAAAGATAAGGTTGTTGGCAGAATCAAGAGTTGGACACATAAATTCCTATCTAGAGCCGGTAAAGAAATTCTTCTTAAAAATGTTATCCAAGCCATACCAACTTTTGCAATGAGTGTTTTCCTCCTTCCTATCGAAATGGGTAAGGACATTGAAAGAACCATGAATAGCTTTTGGTGGGGATGTACTGGTGACAGAAACAAAGGAATTCGTTGGAAAAGTTGGGAGAGATTGAGTATACCTAAGAAATGGGGAGGTATGGGCTTTAAACGTATTAGGGAATTCAACATTGCCATGTTAGGAAAACAAGCTTGGAGACTTGTTCAACAACCTAACTCCTTGTTATCCAGAGTTTATAGAGCAAAGTATTATCCCAACTCATCTTTCTTTGATGCTCAACTTGGAAGCAATCCCTCTTTCATATGGCGTAGCATTCTTGAAGCCCAACACACTCTTAAGATGGGCTGTCGATGGAGGATAGGAGATGGCAACTCTGTCAATATTTGGACCGACCCTTGGCTTCCCAATTCTGAGTTCCCATTCATCCTAACATCTATGCCGGATCATCCTCTTGTTACATCTGTGGCTTCCCTGATTAATGCAGTTGATCACTCGTGGAATGCCACCCTTATTGGCTCAACTTTCAGTCAAGTTGACAGAGATTTGATCTTGTCTATTCCGCTACCGAATTCTCCTACCAATGACAAGATTATTTGGATGCATGATGAGAAAGGAAAATTTACTGTTCGGAGTTGTTACAAACATATATTGGGTAATATGGATCATCTTCAACCCCCTTTCTGGACAAGAGCTTGGAAACTTAATCTCCCACCAAAAATAAAATCCTTTCTATGGCAGCTATGCTCCTCCTCCTTACCCACTTGTGATAATCTGAGGTCTAGGCATGTCCAAATTCCAGATTCTTGTCAAATATGTAACGTTGTAGGAGAGACTGATTTCCACCTCTTTGTTATCTGTCCACTTGCACGTAACTGTTGGGATATCTTGGGAGGTGTTGATTATCATTCTGACAACACTTTTTTTGATTGGCTGGAGCGTATCTTCTCCTCTAAATCTGATGCTGATATATGCTTAATTATCTCTATCTGTTGGAAATTATGGGAGGCCAGAAATGAAAAGCTCTGGAACCACACTATTCTCAATGCATCTTTTATTTGCCTATCAGTCAAAAACTTCATTTTTGAATGGCCTAAAGTAAATGCTTATACTGTTTCTAATACCAGGAGTACAGATTCTCTTACTTCTTGGACCAGACCTCCTCATGGAATGCTTAAGCTCAATGTTGATGCTGCCCTTGACTCCGCTAACAAAAGGATGGGTTTTGGATTCATTCTTCGTGATCACACAGGCGCACTTGTTGCAGCTAGAAGGCTCCCCTGGTTCTCTCTACACAAGCCGAATGAAGCCGAAGCTATTGCTGTTCGGGAAGCGTTGAAGTGGATCAGAGGCACCAATATTGATAATGTGCTGCTTGAAACAGATTGCCTACAAGTTGTTAATTCCATCTCTGTCTCTCATGCTTTCAATTCCTCCTTTGATCTTTTAGTTAATGATGTTAGATCTATAGCCGCAGTTTTTAGTAACTTAGGCTTTTTGTTTGCTAAACGGTCCGCGAACAGGGTTGCCCATACACTAGCTCGGGAAGCCTTGTCTATGCCTGACTGTTCTGATTGTTCGTTTGTTCCCTTTCCTTCCATTGCTCCGTTTTTTAGCATGGATCTTGCTTAATATATATTTCCTCGTCTATTTCAAAAAAAAAAATAGTTTTTAATGAACCAAGTACACCATAAAATGGGTATTGAGAGTTCAAGCCTAAGGGTCTAGGCCCACAATCATTAGGTCCACACAAGTTATGTAATCATATTTTGTATATTGTAAAATAATGTACATTCAATACAAAAATAATGTATATTGTATTCATGAGATGTACATTATTTTATACCGAGTGTACATTATATTGTATAATGTACATTTAGTACAAAAATAATGTACATTTAGTATATTAAAAACGTACTTTTTATTATGGTCTACATAACACTGTGTGGACTATGGTCCACACAATAATTTGCCCTAGGCCGCCCACGACATGACTATTGACAAATTATGCTGTGGAAACGTGCCCATCTTGCAAGGTGGGCAATTTATATCCTACACCACGGTGCGCGTTGCACTGTGCGCCTAGATGCAAAACGACGTCATTTTAATTTTTTTTTTTTTTTAAATTTCCCGTCCCAGTGAATGACAGTAATTTTTTCTTTAAAAAAAAAAACCGTTGTTCAAAAATGTACATAATGTTATACTAGAATACACATAATTGTATACATGAATGTACATAATTATATAACAAAATATACATACTCTTTTTAAAAGATAATACACATAATCTAACATAATACATAATAAACATAAACTTTTAACATAATACACATCAACTCTTAACATAATACACACAAATTTTCTGATTTGGATTTACATAATTGTATAAAAAGAATGTACATAATTGTATAAAAAATGTACATAACTGTATGAACAAATACACATAATTGTGTGAACAAATACACATAATCACAGCAACTTCCTACCGCGCCTCCCAAAACGACGTCGTTTTGGAAGGCGCGAGGCGCACAATGCTACGCGCGCCGTGGTGTAGGGTATAACGATTGTGCAAGGTGGGCACGGTTCCATATTCATAATTTCCAGTCGTTATACTGTGGACCGCGGTGCACGTGCACCACGGTCAAAACGTCGTTTCTTTAAATAATGAAACGGTGCGCCGTTATTGTTAACAGAACGCTCATTTTTTGGTGTGTTAATTACCAACTGAAATTACAGTGTATCTAACCTGACACTACAATGTATATAAATCGACACTACCTCACGTATTATTTTATATATTATCAAACGAAACTGCAGTTATATCAAAATGATAATGTAGTTGTTGTGAAATGAAACTGCAGTGTATATAAAATGAAACTAAATAATATTTCACATATTTGAGTGTATATTGTGCAATGAAGCAGTAGTTATATCGAAATGATTATGTAGTTGTATTTTAATGAAACTATAGTGTATATAAAATAAAATTAAATAACATCTTCACATATTTGAGTGTATAAATATCGAATGAAACTGTAGTTATATCGAAATGAAACTGTAGTTGTGTTGAACTGAAACTGCAGTGTATACAAATGAAATTAAATAACAGAGTTACTTTTTGCGGAACGGCGCAAAGCGGGTGCCGTTTCTTTTCATTAAACAAAACGACGTCATTTTGAAGCTCGGCGCATAATCGATTATGCACCGCGCTGCACGATATAATTTGTCCATAATTTTTATATTGTAGATTCATAATTATAGAGCTATATGTTCATAATTTTTGATGTTCATATTCTCAACTGTTGAACTCTGTTTTCACAAATCACAAAACTATATGTTCATAATTTGATAACTATACAGTTTAGAAATTATAAATCTACAATACATAAATTGTGAGTCTACAGTACAAATATTACGAATCTGCAGTATAGAAATTATGAATCTAGTGTATAAAAATTATAAATCTATTGTATTTAAATTATGAATCTACGGTTTAAATTATGAATTTAAAGTATAGATTTTATTAATCTACAATATAAAAATTATGAATTTACATTATAGAAATTATGAATATAAAATCGTGCCCACTTGTCAAAGTGAACATGCACGATTCCACAACATAACGTTCCATGGCTATTACAGGAGACCTTGATGATGTCTAAACCCCTACAGCATCCCCTATTTATAGTGTCCAAGCCCCAGATTTAAACGCATAACTAGTGGGCATTATACATCAGAGCTACATCACTAAACTATTGTAAGCCACATACCCCCACCCCCACCCCCCCCCCCCCCAAGCTACCCTCATGTCCCTTACCCTTGCCTTTCCCCTTCCTCGAATCCTCGCCACACATGGCTCTCACCGCCATTATTCACCTTCACACACTACGTCTAAGGCACCACTACACCAAACACTAGCTATTTGTGAATGTACAACTTTATTTTTTTTATACTTGTATAACAATCAACGTCATGTTTTGATGGCTAGATGTTGAACTTGGTCATCAAAACCACCGCCCGATAGTAGTATATATTGACCCCACCACCTCGTATCACGACTTTTTGCACTCACTTTTGCACGCCTAAACTTTCTTGTTGTTCTACAATCAGCCTCGATCTCTACCTTCGGCGCAAGAGGCTCTAACCACTCTCTAGATCTCTGGAAATCCCAAGCCAAGATCTTTCCCTTGATCAAACCCTTTACTCCATCCATGCCCGTAAAACTAGTTCATAACATAAGATACAATTACTAATTTGTTTCAATACAAAATTTATACTCTTAAGGTGCATAATTTCATAACACAAAACACAAAAACTCACAACAGAAAGACACATCACATGCACCAGAATCTACAGTGCACTCTAGACCCTAGTCCATGGATGGTATAAGGATTGGTCATTTGGAAACTTGATATGCATTTATAAATTTTATTTTACACATAATATAGTTCACAAAAACATGCTATCCAAAAGCTAGATGTTAGTACAGCTGCTGTCACCATCCTAGTACCAAACCAAAACATGTTACATTCATTTGCAAAGCTTTACTGCTTCACTTGGAAACACACAATAGATAACACCATAGATCCAATGAAGCAGGCAAGCAATACACTGCCTCCAGATTTTATTGAAAACACAAGAATATAACTACTAAGTCGTTTTCATCTCAACTTCTCCAAAAAGTACCTCTACGAACTACCAACTTAAATTGCCTGGAAAATGGATGATATGCTCTATACACAACATCTGCCACCAAATATAAGGCAAGTGAGCCTCAAGTTCGATGCAATATGTATCCTGCAATTTTGCATAGCGATGTCCATGAATACTATGGATGTAGATATATATATATATACCGCTCTTCATGCTAATATTTGAAATAACCACAGTGCATGCTGACATCTCCATCTGATACTTTTTACATCAACCCTTCAGCTTAATCATATGATTGATTCATGTGGTGTTGCTGAGTGGAGGAACGAGATGAAAATGCTGATGCTGTTGTGCTCAAGGAACTCTTTGCAAGATAGATGCTCTTCTTTGTTAGAAGCCCCACAGCAAACAAGAATCCAATCAAGCCTGGGCAAAAACTGAGTTTTCAATTCCGTATTCATGCACTAGATATTATACACTACAAGAAAAAAATGTCAAAATGCACGTATAATTGCATGCATAATAATTAATACACAATACTTGATCCTTGGTTTCATATTCAAAGATGTAAGCAACGGGATTTGTTGATTGCAGAACACAACGATATGGTGCACCAGCCAAGAATCAAATTCAGTCAAAGTTCTAACACCCAGAAATCATGCCTAACAAACACTAAGGAGCCCGATCCACAAGCTAGGCTACATGGTGGTTCCAGTTTTGAACGGTGTTTATATCATCAAACCATCATGCAAAAACACAGTACAGAAACTGGATGTCCATAAAGAATGTTTGATGGGAAGTTAACATTTAATTTCAGGTAGAGTATAAACATGAAAGATCATTAGGCGTTGGAGGTTAACAGAATAGAATGCATAAGTATTTACTTTGTCAAACTACCTATAACACCTATGAGTTAATTGCTAGGCTGTCACATAGCTCCAAACATAAAAAGCAAAGAACGAATGATCCTACACCAATGCAGGGATTGATGTAATGGAAACTAAAAGGAAGGTAAGGAATGACTAAAATGCAAAAGCAAAATTCAGTTATAAAAGTTTCCCTGTTTATGTTTCGCTGTATCAAGTAACTCATTAATGCTAGCTCCTAAAGACAGCATTCTCTTGCAAAGATTTTTCCTTCTTTCATTTGGATGTTATCCCACTCTCATTTACCTTATATCAGTACAGCTGTATATATACATAAAATTTATGATTATTTTGTGATCTCTCAGCAGAAACTAGCATCATAAACAGAAGAAAGGAATTTGACCAAAATGCTCTACTCTTTCTTTAGCATAGTCTTTTTTTAATATAAATCCAAATGAATGAGTTTATGTTTTGATATGTAGAATATTATTAAGCAATGGATTATTGCCATAATGCTTTGAAAACGTCTTCTCAATGTGAAACCTAATCAACAAATGAAAAGATATGCAGAGCTGAGAATCAACTTTTTGATTTACTTGTGAATCCTGTACTCTTGTGCTTATTAAAAGTGATTAAATTTTGGAAATGTATGCATGGTTATCCAGTATTGACTTAATCTGGATGCATAAATGACCCTTATAAACCAGAGATTCAAGCTTCACATACTCCATATAAGATATAAGAGATCCAAATCAAACCTCAAAAGTAATCAGTAATCTATAGGCTTATTAAAAATCAGTGAAGTGATTATAGTTTAGGGGATGCACACGTGGTTTTCCAATATTGACTTAATCCGGACACATAAATTGCCTGTAAAAACCACAAATTTGAGTATCACCTACTCCACATGAGATACCAGACAATCAAATCAAACTTCAAGGTAATTTGTAGTTTGATGTAATTTGAGTTTTATCTATATGATCAAGAGATATAAATCTTGAATAAAGCTCTAATTTGAGGTAATCTCAGAAGAAGATTAAATCCCAAAGCACAAATGCAGAACATCAGAAGTAGAAAAAGCAAAAAGATGGAAGTAAAGGAATCAAATCTATAGATGACTTGGAGCCAGTGGGAGAGAACCTTACAACTGCAAAGGACAACACATAAAATGCTGAAGCACAGTAATATAAAAAATAAAATTAAAAAAAAAAAAAAAAAAAAAAAAATCAGAGGAAGTACTATATTTGTTTACCTGCAACTATGGAAGCAGTAATAATTGCTGAAATTGTTGCAGTTGAAATGACTAATATAGCTGCAAATAGTGCCCCAAGGTAAATGGCTATCAAACAGGCAAACAAAAGAACCAAGAACCCCCCTGCTACCACTAAAGAGATGACCAGAGATATCACTATTGCATTGACAGTTGCCGCAACAAAGAAAATCATAAAAATTAGTAATCCTGTCAACGAAAAAAGGCCAATTGTCCCAACCTGCAACCAAAATTGATTCCAAGAAACAGGTTAAATGAAAGACAACTAGGATTTGGATTGGTACCGGACAGTAATTGCTACAGGTATACCAGTAGTCCCAAAACAGCTTAGCAATGACAAAAATTCGAACTTCACCTAAGTAACAGACTGAACCAACAAGATACAGTAGATGCTAATGACACTAGAAACTCTCTACTTGAAAACAAATCTATTAGTACCATCTAGGGTCCTCCGAGTATAATGGTTTTGCCACGTTTAGTCCTAAACTTTCAAATTCACCAATGACCATCCGTGGTCTTTCAACTTTCAAATTGTTACCATCTGTAGTCCAAGTGAACCACTCATGGTCCTTCAACTATCAAATTTTAACCAGCCATGATCCTCTTACAGGAGGACCACAGGTGGTTAAATTTTAAAAATTGAAAGACCATGGGTGGTTAACTTGGACCACGGATGGTAACAATTTGAAAGTCGAAGGACCACTCGTGGTTAATCTGAAAGTTTACGGGGAGGACCTCATATGGCATTAACTCTAGGCTCACATTATCCAGTATTATCCTTGGTGCAACAAGATTTATTAGAAGCTAATGTGCTCCACTACCAGATACTCCTCTCAAAAAATGGCCTTTCAAGACAATAAAAAGATACCAAAAGACATTGTGAATTTGATGTTAGGTTTTTCTTATTCTATTATTTGATTTATTTCATATAAAAAAACAAATTAATATAGATTTAACAGAAGGTAAAGATTACCACATACCCTCCTAAACCTGCAAAGAGCCTTAAAATCAACATCATAATGGGCTAAATTTATTCTTTTTTTTTTTTTTTGCCTCTCGTTGTGGAGTTTAGAAAGTCTCCTAAAAGAATATTACAGTAAACTTTTTCTAACACAATCTAATAACACATGGTAACTTGGTAAGGACCATTGTTTAGGTGCAAGCTCACACAACTTTAAGAAACAGCATAATTCATTATAGCTCTAAGCTTCTAACATGCAAACATACTAGCATAAACAGAACAGTGACGGCCAACAGATGGTTATGAGCATTTTTGGAGATATATGTAATAAAATGTAATGGCACTACTATGATTTTAAAATAGTCCAAAATAATAAAAATAATAATAAAGCAAAACAGCAAGCATACTCCAGAATGTCAAATTTTAGTTGGTACTTATTCAATCTTTCCAACTAATAGCTCAACTGAAATGAGATCACTGTGCCAGACAGCATAAAGCCCTGAACTTGCTCTTCATTTTTGCAGATGTAACCCAATATTGCTTTTCTTACTAGTTCAAGATGGAGGAAAAATTTATGTGTAGCAATTTATCAGCAGGAAAAATAAGCTCAACCGCAATAAAGATGCCACACCAGACTTGCACTATAAATTGCAACGTTTCCTCTCAAGAGCCTGTATAGAAGTACTGGCACTTGCCTAAAACCGAGAAATTCATATTCCCATGTATACATATATATAAACTACTTCGCTACAAATCTACAGTAATAAAATTATAGAAATATAGTTAATGCAATGTATATGACATCCTAGAGGGCAGTAGCTGCCTGCTTTAATGTAAAATAGTTTACTCTGTTAAATTCCATGAGGTTCAAAGTAAAATAAAGAAGTGAACTTTTTTCTCCAATACACTCACAGAAAGAAGGAGGAGGGCACGGAAAGGACTTCCCCGGCGAGTCCAGGCGTAAATATTACGAGCAGTGTTCTGAGAAGCTTCGCAGAGCAAGGGGGCATACTCGGAGAGTGCAATCTTGACCCGGTGTTGAAATGTACCGGGTGTGTCCGGCCCGGGGAACAAAACCGCCGAAATCAAACGGGTCAGGACAGCGGAAAGAGTGATTTCCTTTGCGTGAAGCCCTCCCTGTCTAGGATTGCAGGAATTGGAGTCTTCACTTTCGCCAACCATCTCCTCTGCGTCCTCGGCCATTTCACGGAGTCATCAGGATTATACAAGTATACCGTAATGTGGCGTTCTGGATGGTAATCACGTTAATCGATTGATTGCATTAGTTGAATACTTGAATCTTGAGGTGGGAGGTGGTCAATGCTCACTGGTCAGTGGTCGGCTGGGAGCATCCGAGCATCTCAATTTTTTAGAAAGAATTATATTTTTGGTCATACGACTATTGTGTATTTTTAATTGCCGTCAATGAGTTTAAAAACTGTTAATTTAACACTATAATCCGTTTAGTTCACAAAATAGGTTAAGAATAACATAGTATTCGCATTAATAGGCCTATTTTTGTTTGGCAAACATTTATATTTCTAAAATTAATATTTTTGATAATAGCCTAATCTCCCAAGTAAGGTAATAGTTATTACATGGCCCCCCGATATTAACTTATTATTGAGTCATCAGGAATAAATTTTTTATTTTATTTTCTAGTTTACAATTTTATTTAACCTAAACATTATACGTTATCTTTCTTTCGTCTTCTCTGTTTTTGCGATTCCTTTCGCCATTTGCATTAAATTGAAGCCTCAAATAAAAATATTCTTCTCAATTTTATTTTTTACAAATTAATTATTCATATATTTAATTATATAAATATATAAATAAATAAATCAATATATATATATATATATAATATACACTATTGCGGCTGCGTCACCGTCCGCACTGCAACAGTATATATGTAATATATATTATTGTTGCGACGGTACCAAGTCGCTGCCGTAGCAGTGTGTGTGTGTGTATATATATATATATATATATATATATATATATATATATATATATATATATATATTACTGTTGCGGCTGCGGCACAGTGCCGCACCACAAAAGTATATATATTACATATATATGTGTAATACAATTATCAACGAAACGTTATAATACAATTCTTAAAGTTTATTCATTTAGCGAACCAAACGACATAATACAATTCCTATTCTATTCTTCACCTATTCCATTTCCTATGGAATAATATTCCTATTTCATCCAAATTGATTCCGTGAACCAAACGGGCATTATTAATTTTTTATTGATTTTAGTCTCTCCGACCAATTTGTCACTAAAAATTTGTAATTAACTTATTATGAGTGTGTTAGTTCAAACATTATAATCGAAATTGTAATGAGAATCAAACATAAGGAGGAGGAGGATAATAATAACACGTCAAATAGACCATCGAACTTGTAAGATTCGTACAATTAGACCTTCAAACAAAAAAGTGTACAGTTAAGCCATTTAAAATTAAAAATAGAGTTAATACCCAAAATAGTCCCTCGACTATGTCGTAATTACCAATTTGGTCCTCGACTATCATTCTTACCCAATTAAGTCCTCAACTATACAATTTTTACCCAATTTAGTCCTTTGTCAATTTGACTGTTTGTTGACTGTCAAAAGTGGAAATAGTTTTTTCCATTTTTGGTCCCTCGACTTCACTTGTGGTGACAAATGGGATTCACGACTTTTATTCCGGACATAATAGGTGCTCAACTTCAATTTTTTTTTCACATTTGGTCCCATCCGACCAAGAATCCGGCCAACCCACCGGAATTAGACTCAACCCTTGTTATGTTAAGGGTATTCTAGTAATTTCTAACCCATGTAAAATAATTAAATATAAGATTTATTCTGTATATACACCTCATTCTCGCCTGGTAGAAGCTCGGCGACAATCACCGGCGTTGTCTGGTTCAAGATTCATGGTTGTATTGTTATACTAGCATGAAACAAGATATTTCTTTGAACCCAACTCTCAACTCCTCCCACTGTGTGTCCTCGAATTCCATTTCTCCATTGACGACCTTCATCTCAACCAGCCATAGCTCCGGCGCCACTTGAAGAATTTCCACCATTAACGTTACTCTTGCTTTTACCAGTCTGATTCCCCCTCCGTTTCCCCTCTCCACCCTATACCCTGCTTCACTCCCGATCTTCTTTACCTTCTCCTCAACCTCTCCTACCTCGGAATTTGTGGTGAATCTCATTTCTTTCTTGTTCAATCCCGCCTGGAATAGCCCTGATAGATCCAACCCGGGAGACATTGAAATGATATCGAATGCGTTCATTTTGGTTAAGTGTTTGCAATCTTTGTCGAACTCTTGGTTCCCAAATTGATGTTCGTCTGTCAAATCTATCACTGATGATGACTTCTTGAACCACGGGAGCTTCATCAGTTCCTCGATGGACATTCTGGTTACCGGATTGGGATCGAGCAGCCGGAAAATTATGCTCCGGGTGGGCTTTGTGATCCAATCCGGGAACTGAAACGCGCGGCTTCGTATTGCACGGTACATGTTTGATATATTGCTGTCGTCGAATGGGAGGTACCCTGCGAGGAAGGCGAAGAGGATGACGCCGCAAGACCACGCGTCGGCCTTGGCGCCGTCGTAGCCTTTTCTGATCATCACCTCCGGGGCGGTGTAGGCCGGAGTACCACACGCGGTGTGGAGGAGGCCGTTTCGGATCTGCTCCGGCAGCGCGGAGAGGCCGAAATCGGAGATCTTGAGCTTGCCGTCCTTGTCGAGGAGGAGGTTCTGGGGCTTGATGTCACGGTGGGTGACGCCGTTCTGGTGGCAGAAGTGGAGGGCGAAGACGAGCTGGTGAAAATAATACCTCGCCGTGCGAAGAAATATCTTCCTTCTTCGCACACCTTCGAACTGAACAGAGATAGGCGAGAATGAGGTGTATATATAGAATAAATCTTATATTTAATTATTTTACATGGGTTAGAAATGACTAGAATACCCTTAACATAACAAGGGTTGAGTCTAATTCCGGTGGGTTGGCCGGGTTCTTGGTCGGATGGGACCAAATGTGGAAAAAAAATTGAAGTTGAGCACCTATTATGTCCGGAATAAAAGTCGTGAATCCCATTTGTCACCACAAGTGAAGTCGAGGGACCAAAAGTGGAAAAAACTCAAAGTGGAAATAAAGTTGTAGTTTTACAAGTTTTCTCCTTCCTCCTCATTTAGCAGTGCCAAACCATGTAGCAATAAGCTCCGGTTGGATTCTAAACCTGTCAGTATCTAAGTAGTGGTTATGCATCGGATAGCCCATGAATTTGATTTCCAACGATTTTTTGACGATCGAAATCTTTTCGGAGTGTATTGCTGCATGGTTTGGCGCTGCTAAATGGAGAGGAAGGAGAAATCTTGTAAAATTATAATTTTATCCCGACTTTTGACAGTCAACAAACAGTCAAATTAATACAGATGACTAAATTGGGTAAGAATTGTATAGTTGAGGACTAAATTGGGTAAGAATTGTATAGTTGAGGACTTAATTGAGTAAAAGTTACATAGTTGAGGACTTAATTGGGTAAGAATGGTAGTTGATGACCAAATTGGTAATTATGGCATAGTCGAGGGACCATTTTGGGTATTAACTCTTAAAAATATGTACAATTAGCATTATTTGTTGGTAAGTAACAAGTTGCCGGTAAACTTTTGATTTAACATGCCACATAAAAAAATAAAATAATCTTTTCTTTAATTATTTAACAAATATAATATAATACTTATTTTTATAATTTTTTTTAAAAAAAACACATAGCCACCTCCCTGCGACCTCTCCCGTCTAGTTGACAGGGAGGCGGCACCTCCTTTGTCAATGTTAATGGAGGAGGCAGGCTTCTCCACCGACGCTGACGGGGGAAGTGTCTTCCTCTTATGTAGATGGAGGAGGTAAACCCCTCCTCCATCTACGAACGGAAGAAGGGGGTTAAAAAAATATGGGGTCCAGGACAAAAGGGACATCCATGGCTGTTTTCCCTTCGTTCATCTGAAAGGAAGACGTCTGCCTCCCCTTTATTTAGATCAGATAAAGAAGGAGATAGCTATAGCTGCCTCCTCCTAAAAGTTTTTTTTTTTTTTTTAATATTTGTTAAAATAGTAACTAAAATAAGATTTTATATGTAATTTATGTTATTGTGATTTAAATATTAACATTTTAAAATTAATTAATTATATTAAATGTTAAGTTATCAGTTTAACCTAGAGTAATATGTAAAAAATGATAATTGCATATTTTTGTAGATTTAATTTTCTAATTGTACTTTTTTGTTGTTGATAATTTAATTCTAATTTTTTTTTTTGTTTAATAGTTCAATCTTGCACAAACTATACTGGCTTGTTTGATATAAGTACTGTTTGGTAAATGACTATTAGTTGTTAGTTTGGGTTAATTAGAGAACATAACTAGTTGATAATATTTGCTGATTGAAAAAAATATTTGATAAATTATATACTAGTTGATAGATATTTGGTATAATTTTTTTTTTTTTTATCAAATAGCTAATTAAAAAATTATTTTTAACAGTTTTTTGAATTTTAGTATTTTAGAATTACAAAAAACTAATTAATCAAATATTTATATTAATTTTTTAACAAAATTAAACCATTAATGACACGTTTGGCTCGCGGAATAGGTCTGAAATGGCATAGCATTCCCAGTAATAGACTTATTTCTTTGTTTGGTAAACATTTTTATTCCCAGGAACAATCAACATTTTTATTCCCAGGAACATTGTTCCTGGGAATGGCACATTCCCTTTATAGGGGGAATAATTATTAATAGGGTTCCCCTGGTATTAACCTATTCATGAGTTCTCTGGAATATATTTTATATTTTACCCTTTCTCTTTGTCTTTGCATCTCTTTCAACGCTTCGGATTCTTTCTCCAAACAGTCACCCAGGATGGACAGGAAACCATGGCCAAGTCGAGACTACCGCCACCTACCCCTCCTCCAACCTTTAGGTCCTTTATGCAGTGGCTGGGACGCCGACAACGCCAAGCATTCTAGTAATTACTACTTTTAATTGCAACAAAAAAAAGATGTAAATCCTCGTGAAATTTCTACGTTCCAATCAAACATGTATTCTATTCATGAATATACCAATATATAATTAAAAAATGTTAATTGAATGTGTATTATGACTTTCAACTTCATTTCTTAGTTTTTCCAAAAAAAAAAATTCACTTATTAGACGATTATATTGTACATTCTGTAATTTGTCAAAGATACAAAGTAGTTGCTATATTTGCTTAAATATGTATTAGTGTCGAAAAATAATTTATAAAGTCTATTTATTCAGCGAATCAAACACTAGAATACAATTCATATTCTATTCCTTACTATTCCGTTCCCTATGAAATAATATTGTTATTCCCTCTAAAATTATTTCGTGAACCAAACATACTGGAATAGTGATCAAATAAACTTTTTTCAAATAATATTATCTGACTGAAGGACGAACAGAGCGAAGACGAACAAATCCCTAATTTCTAAATTAGACGGAGTAAATTCCTAAATCTGATTTATTACGACGAACAGAGTGAAGACGAACACCGCTCGGCGCCTCGCATGTTCAGCGACCAACGGACCTCGCCTGCTCGCCTCCAATCGAACACAGCTCATGACCAGAGATCCAAATCCCATCTCCAAATCGCCGGTCAGTTGATCCAAAATTCCATCTCCAAATCCCTAATCTTCTCGTCACCGGACCAGAGACCAGAGACCAGTCCTCCATCTCCTGCTTCGCCTGCTGCCAGCTGCCCTGCTCCGCCGCCTTCGCTCCTCGCATGCTCCTAGCGACGAACGGTCTCCTCTACTGTGGACGAAGGTACTCCTCCGGTCTCCTCTCCTTGTTGGTCTCGGTTGAAATTTTCGTCGAGTCTTGAAATTTTCTGATTGCTGGTTGAACCTTGATTTTTCTGTCTTCAAGTTTGGAAATTTTCTGCCGAACTTGATTATCGATTTTTGATTCTCGATTTCTGATTGCTTGAGTGTTGAAGAAGACTGGAAATTCACGGCCACAGCCGTGTCTAGGCTGTGTCGAACACTGCATTAATTTTTTGACATGGCTTTGTTTCATAATTATTGCTAACATAGCCCATGTCTAGGATGTGTGGAACACTGCATTAATTTTAAGACATGGCTTTGTTTCATAATTATTGCTAACATAGCCCGTGTCTAGGCTGTGTCGAACACTGCATTAATTTTTAGACATGGCTTTGTTTCATAATTATTGCTAACATAGCCGAGGTTGGTGTATGGGAGTATATGCTTGCGTGCTGTTATTTGTATCTTTATGAGAATTATGAGTGGTGAATTTGTCTTGCCAGTAATCCAGTATGCTAGTTTGCTTTTCATGATTGAGTTATGATTCTCTGTCAGGGAACTAAGTATATTAGCTGTATAGTGTTCTGAATTATTTTCTGGTTAAGTTTCTTGTATTCCATTGTTGTTGTGTTTGATGAAACATATACTGAGATTTTGAATGTGGTTTGAACCTATTTAATTAGACCATGAAAATGACTGTTAGTTATGAAATTTGTGTGTTTTGAATGGAACATGGTGCGCTTTTCAGCTTATATTGTTTATCTTGACAAAATCCCTAAGAGCTATTTGGCATGTTCTCTTGCAGTCAGGATTGAATGGATGTTTGTGCTAGAAAACTATGAATTGTTGGGAATTGGGATTTCTAAACTGAACCGAAACCGAACTATAATGTTAAACCGATAGGTTTCTTTTTTATTTTATTTTATTTTATTTATTATTTATTATTTATTATTATTTATTTATTTATTTAACCGAACAAACCAAAACCGAAAAAATCCAAACCGAATACCGAAACGCCCACCCCTAAGAAAAACATTCAAGGCAGTTTTAAAAATAAAACTACTTTCATGTTTTGTTTCTATGGGAAAGAAATAAACCTTATACGGGTTAGATGTTATATACTGTCTTTATGTGCACCTAAATAAGCAGCTTACCAAGTCTTGGTAATAACTGTAATATATGTTACCTTTTTTTTGAATATGCAATATATGCTACTTGGTTAGACTTAATTGTATAATTGATTGATTTTGTGATCTTAATTGCATTTACTGCAGGTAGCTTTTGGTTTGGAAATCAAGTCCTGCTGACAATTTTCTGATTGTTGGCTGTCAAAGAGGCAAAGTTTATTGAATTTTATGCTTGATTGACTAGTGGTGTGGGTATTTTATGAGATATGGCTGAGATTCGGAGTTCTGGGAAGCCAATTGATCAATTGTTGGAGAAGGTTCTCTCTATGAACATTCTTTCTTCTGATTACTTTAGAGACCTTTTGCGTCTGAAGACATATCATGAAGTGATTGATGAAATCTATAATCAAGTTGACCATGTTGAGCCATGGATGACTGGCAACTGTCGGGGTCCTTCAACAGCATTCTGCCTTCTGTACAAGTTTTTTACTATGAAACTTACTGTCAAACAAATGCATGGCCTTTTGAAGCACCCTGATTCACCATATATCAGAGCTGTGAGTAGTCTCATGCTATCAACATGTTTGCATTTTCACTTTTTAGTGGTTATTTCTATTGTTAGTCATAGCCTTCTAGTTTGCATGAAGGACTATGAGACTATCGCTAGCAAAGTCTTTTGCATCATCAATCTTCATAGGGGTAAATGCTCAGTAAAATTTTAATATGCAGTTCATCTTAACTTGTGGCCTTATTAAAAGGCGCTAGGCTCTCATCAGGCTGTGTGGATGGGCGCCTAGTTGCTGCGGGCGCATAGGTTCCTTAATAATTTTTTTATTGCATTTGATAAAAAATAAAAATAAAGCATTAAAGCCTAAGCCTAGCCCAAAACTTAAAAGTTTAGCTCAAGCCCAAACTCTTCAAAGACTAAAAATCTAACCCTAATTTCAAGTCCCATAATTTCATATTTCCACCGACGAAGCACTACCATCTCTCTTCAACTTTAGCAATGTCGATGAGTAGATGACTTCCAAGCAGCGATAGCGAGCTGCGACCATGGGTTTGACGCATGAAGGAAATACAACCATCCGACAAGGTGAGGGGCTTTGCGAAGGCGATGGGTTAGGTGACGAACTACGACTATGATGGCCAACCGAGTGATGGGTGACTACAAGGGTGTGAACTCCACTGAAGGCACTGGCGACACACAGGAAAAATGGCCGATTTGTCCGACTAGTCGGATGGCCACCTACATCAGAATATGCATCGGCCTAGTAGTGTGGTAGTGCCTATGCGGCCACGTAGGCCAATTTTTGCAACACTGCTTTATTATAGAATTTTTAGACTTTCTTTAACATGTGGAATTTTATTTGGCACATCAATAAGGATGGGTTTCTCTGTTGCCACATGCACATTTTACATTACTGAGAAGCTTGAGGAAGGATCTGATATGAGAATTTTTCCTTCTCTAGGTGGGTTTCCTATACTTGAGATATCTTGCAGATCCAAAGACAATATGGAGTTGGTATGAGCCGTATCTTAAAGATGATGAGGTATGAACAATGGGTTTCCTTCCATCTCCTTCTGAAATTGATTGTTTTCTAACAATGTCATGTAGAGGAGAAATCACTTTCATATTTTAAATATGACTGAAAAATTTACATCTTAGCGCACACATAAGAGGATGAGCTTTTAGTTGTTTCAATTAAATATGAAGGTCTAGGAGTAGGAAGGTTTCCCAGGATGTCTGGCTCCATCTTTTATAATTGCATCCTACTTATGATTATACTGCCCATTTTATTTACTTAATATTCTTCTTTTGCTTCACTATTGGTTTTACTGCATAAGTGGTTGTGTCACTTCATCTTCACTTTTAAAGAATGCAATATAGGATCCTTCTAATGTGTTTATTACATATGTTTATCATGCAGCACTTGCTTCCCATTTAAGCTCTAACCTTTTCTTCTTTCCCCCTATTTGCAGGAATTCTCTCCTGGATCTAGTGGTAGAATGACAACCATGGGTGTATATGTGCGTGACTTGCTCCTAGGACAGGTCAGGTGCCAAATCATTTATCTGATAATGTACTTTGTTGTGTTTGTTGGTTTTTAAAATTCTTCACTCTCATACTGCTTCTTCAATTTCAGTATGTTAACAAGCTTACACATTCATTTTTTCCATTATCTTGCCTTTGAGACACATTTATGTCTCTCTTCCTGTGTACTTCTATATGACATCTGAGTTCAATACTTCTTGATAGGTTCTATATATTATTGGCAAATAGGATTTTATTTTTTTAGTGGTGCAGTGAAAAGTTTATGCCCCATGTTGCAGGGAAATTTTCAAGAATATGCATATACAGAAATTTTTTCCCCAAAATGTGCATGTTTTCAAACCTAGACAAAAAATGTGCAAAGTGCATTTGTTAATTGGATAGATTCATTTACCTTATGTGCTTATCTTTTTCTTCTCCTTTTTAATTTTTTTAATTTAATTTCTCCAAAACTAATTTTGTGAAATTATAATAAACACATTACTTTCATGCATGTATACCAATTTTCTCAATGAAAAATATATCGCTTAATTTATTTCTTTTAAATAAAGCATAAACAAAAGCAGTTTTTTTCCTTTTTGTTCCAGCCCATCACTACTGACATAGTTTTGTTTATATTTAGGGAAGTTGCGTTAATGGAATGCTTTTTTAAAAAGAAATATTGCTAAATAAAATGCATTTCTCTTAAAAGGCAAGCTCTTCCTTTGTTTTCCATTTTATATTGAAAGAGTAAAAGCATGCATGTGATATTATGGAAATTTAGTTGGGTGAGATCTTCTGCATCTCCCTCTAGGAAACCCAAAACGTACTATACAAATGATAATCACACCCAAATTGAAGCGGTGACAAAAAAAATTTTCATGCTTTGTGAATTCCACGTGTTTGTATTCATCATTAAATGGTCGGAGAGTTGTCGTTTTCAACATCTTGTCACCAGTTTCCTCAATTATTTCAAAAATTAAAGTGGAAAATACAGTCCTACCACCTCACAGCTATGAGCTATGCCACCATTTTGATATATATATATATATATATATATATATATACACACACACACACACACACTAGTATTTTTTATGCGCGATGCGCAAAAAATAGGTGCCCAATATTAATACATTATATTAAAATTTTAAATTTATTTAAATTTTAGATATTTAAATTATTCTAAATAATAATAATAATAATGTAAATCATTTTTATAAATTTGATATTTATATTTATGTAATAGTTAACATATAACTCAAATATTTAATATGTATATATTATTATTAATGAAGAAGATAAGAAAATATATGGTGGATGCATGTGCATGGTAACAATAGTGGAAAAGATAACGGAAGTTATAACGGTAGGGGTGGTTTGTCCAAAATATTTTAATGTACAACCTTTATAGCATAATGTAAAAAAAAAAAACTTAACGGAAAAAACGGACATAAATCAGGGGTATAACTTTCATTCACACTTATTGTTTATATTTAGGGAAGTTGCGTTAATGGAATGCTTTTTTAAAAAGAAATATTCCTAAATAAAATGCATTTCTCTTAAAAGGCAAGCTCTTCCTTTGTTTTCCATTTTATATTGAAAGAGTAAAAGTATGCATGTGATATTATGGAAATTTAGTTGGGTGAGATCTTCTGCATCTCCCTCTAGGAAACCCAAAACTTACTATACAAATGATAATCACACCCAACTTAATTTGTGCATACTAAAATTTGCCCCTACATTCCTTTTTCCAGTTCTTTGGCTGATTCAATTAACGTTATGAGTTTTAATACTCTGTATTTTAATCTTCCATTCATTGTTAAAAGTTAAACCATTCAACGAAGATTTGGAGCCTACCTGATATTTTTAGAATAGTTCATTCTTTCTTGCAGTGTGAAAATATATTAGTGAATGATGAATAAACTTTGATTGAAAATAAAATGTAATTACTAAAGACAATTACTGATTTCAATTAAATTAACTATAGAGTCTAGACAATTTGTTTGTATCTAAATGCAAGGATCTGCATGTGTCCATGTAATTTCCTTAACAAAAAAAAAAAAAGCAATTGAGAGTATGAAATGGAATGCTTTATCATAAGGTTGAATGAAATTGTTAAATTGATTTATCTAGGTAATGGCAAATTGAAGATGATTGGTTAGTTCCTTTTGTCCTGCTTATGCAGTGACATTTCCCGACATTAGTGATTGAATTCTGTTGAAGGAATTTTTTCATGTTAAGATGAGAATTGATTTTGCTAGGTAATGGCAAATTGAAGATGTTTGGTACTCTGGTTAGGCTTTTGTCCTCATGTGGGGGCATTTCAAATATTACTGGTAGATTTCTATACAAGGAAGCTGCTAATTTCATGTCAAGATTAATCTCCTGTGCATGTAATTTTATCAATGTTTTTCAGCATGGCTCAGACAAAGCTTAACCTGTTTATATGCAGATTCTATATCTTCCCATTAGCAGAGTTAACAGTAAACACTACTATTCATTACTTCTAATAAGATCGAATTTTTTATGTTGACCACTTTAAGAAAAATTACTGTTTGCCTATATGATGAGCTTTTCAGTCATCTGAATATCTGATGAGGAATGGTAAGAGTTAGTTAATGCAACTCTTCTTAGATGTTCATTTGTTAGTTTTAATGGTGTTCATTGTGGATTTCTCATAAATTTTGTGTCTGAATAATGGAAGCAACCTTTTGTCTTGGTAAGAGTTCTCTAGTTCTTAGTTCTCATTTCTTCTCATCCTCCATTGCAATTGTGATTTTTTAATGAAGGCACACCTTCCTAAAATGATAAATTTTCATTGACTGACTTTATCCCAAATCTTGAGGTTGCTAAAGACATTCATTTTCTCTACAGAAAGCTTCTATTGTAATTTTTTCAATTTTTGAACTATCAAGTTGCCATGGAAATGAGGGAAGAGCATGTGGCTACTTGCAGCACTGGCCTCTCAATCTTCAATTTGACTAGTAAAACTTATCTAGTGTATATTTTTTTTTTACTATTGTACTTGAATGTTTTGCAATTAAAATTTTTACTCATGATTAATTTGAACTTTGACACATAACATGGAGTATTACAATGTTCTTTGATATGTTTGTGATTTCATTTTCTCTATATATGTATGTACTGCTATTTAATCTGACATTGATACAAGCACTAAACATTTTGTGCTTGATTGCAGTACTACTTCGATACACTATTACCTCGTATCCCAGTTCCTGTAATGCGTACTGTTGTATCCAATCTTGAGAACATGAAGCTTCCTACTAAGCCTTCTGGATCAACTGGGGATTCTACTCGAGGGTCTGAAGAAACTGCACGCCGGCCACCTTCTGTGAAAGCTTCCCTCTCTGTCTCGTTTGGTCAGCGCGCACCTCATCGTGCATCAACAAGAGATTCATCTCCTATCCGTCGTACCTTGACATCATCTCCTTATGACAGGAACGGTGATGATGCAAAGCGGTCTCCCAGCTATCGTCGTAGTCAAAGCCGTGACATACCTGACAGAGACAGGGATAAAGACCTGGACCGTGAGAGAGACCGACAGCATGATAGGGATAGGGATAGGGATCGCGACCGAGACAGGGAGAGGGGTAGGGATCGGGATAGAGAGAGGAGGTATGATTATGATAGAGAGCGGGATAGGGAGAGAGGTAGAAGGCATGATTATGATAGAGAACGGGAAAGGGATCGAGACAGAAGATATGGGGATTATGACAGAAGGGGGTCCAGGGAAAGTAGAAGGGATCATCATGAGAGGAGTCGGAGCCGAAGTAGAAGTAGAAGTAAGAGTCAGAGCATGCATGAGCGAGGTGGAAGTCTTGATCATCGGCGGAGTCCTCCAGCACAAGATGGAAGCAAAGAGAAGACATCTGTTTCTAGCAACCTGGCTAAACTTAAAGATCTCTATGGTGACTTGGGTAGCAGCCAGAAGGAAGACACAAGCAATAACAGGAGGGACAGTGGTATGGAGGAGGTTATCCGACTCGGTGGCTCTACTTGGAGGTAGAGTAGAACCACCCCCACCCTCATGCAAGTTTTATGTTGAGCAGCTGCTTGCTACCTGTTGTCATTTGGCATAGCATCAGTAGCAGCATGTATTATTAGACAACAAAGATACCATTTTCTTCCCTGTTATTTTCATTGGATATTTACAGTTAGTTCCCCACTTGATGGGGGAAGAAACATAATTGTTTGTCTAATTTTCCAACTTCTATTGATCAACTGTGAGATGGGTTGTACCTTAATACTCCTCCGTATCAACTACCAAACATTAGCTAGCTTATTTGAGTAATGGACCCAATTTTTATTTTATATTTCCCATTTCCCATGCATTATTTGTGTTATTTTCGTAGCTAAGTAGAGCAGATTGTTTTCCATTTTAGTGTGGATACTTTATTTAGCATAATGTGATGATTGATAACAGGCAGAATTTTGAAGGGAGTATATAATGCTTCGTTAGCACAAAAGATGATTTTGAAAATGTAAAAATGGATTTATCGTCATACAATAATAATACATAATAGTCGGCCGGCCGGGAGAATTGGCAAAGAACTAGTGGTTATGGAAAAGCAATAGAAAGAATATTATAACGAACAAGAAAGTGGCTATAGTAATTAAGCAAACATCCACGTGTTCCTCGTATATATTTGAATGTTGTCTCCATTCTGGATATTAGCAAAAACTAACACTATTAAGCTGTGATGTGCTGTAATCGCAAAATGAGAAAATAGGTGTTCTTTAGAGTGCCATATCAAAATAATACAAACTTCCTCTCAAAAAAATACTACATTCTAAAATGGTCTCCTCTTCCTAGTAGATACCCAATTGCCCTAACAAAGCATGGCCGTGTTACTCACCCAATCAACTTATTACTCACATTTGATTGAGCGGTAAATATGACGGACGAAAAACAGGGCTGCTCGGAAACCAACAGTCCCAAGCATTAGGAAGAAACCATAGCAGATGCAGGCCATGTACCCAAAGAAGAACGAGGTTTGCATGAAGCCTGACATATCTGAACGTGCATAGTAGTAGTACAAGCAGTACCCGTATATGAATAGCCCAGTTGATCCACCACAAAGGAAAGATCTAATCACCAGCAGAAGAAGAAGAAGAAAAACAAACATATGTATTAGTACTTCAATCAAAAAGTGAAACTAGAAATTAAAAACTAACAACGGGACCAGACAAATACTGAAAAGTAATCAAAACATCATTCCAGGGAAGTAGTTACTACTGAATATAATTCCTTCAAACATTATATATGAAGATTAAAAAGTTATCACATGCAATGAGAATTAATAAGAATCCTTAGGAGATGATCATTACAAATAAAAGTACAACTTACCTCCACCACCATTCATGGTCTTCAGCAGCAAGTTGAAAGTATGTCAATGCCACAGTAATAAAAGCAGTAACAATCAGCAAAATAATGAAGACTATAAATAAGATGCTGTAGATTGTGTATATCCTGTGACCCCAAACACTGGCAAATATATAGTATAGCTCAATATATATGGCACTGAAAGGCAAAAATCCAGCCATTGCCATCTGAGGAAGGGCTCCACGGTACCAAGGTAATGGTGGGATTTCTCTTGGGTATTTAGTCGTACGGCAAGGAGCTTGAAACTCAGCCTTGCTATTCTTTCCAGCAATCCCTCCCAACACCAGCAATGGTGATGTAACAAGAGCCCATATTAAAAAGATAACCACAATGGTACCAAAGGGCAGCGCTGCTGTGGCACTGTAAGCAATGGCTACAGTGTTCAAGAAACAGAACGTGAGAAACAGTGGTCCACAAAACAATGCTCCAGTTAATAACAAGTTCCTCACCTGTAATATAAATAAAAGATTTTCATTAGTATATTGCATTTATTTCAAATTAACTGTTTGCACAAAAGCAGCAATTGAAGGAACAGATATCCACATCATTATTTATATGAGATAATCATATTAGTGATTGAACAAGATTGTCCTATTATCTTAGGTGGAGATGTCAGTTACTGCCACAGCAAAAAAGAATTACAGAACACTAATTAGTCACTATAGTTGTACATGGAGATGCACTTACTATATCCTGGTAAGCTAAAAATTTAGAATCACTCAATGAGCAACCTAATGAATAAAAAGCATAGAGTTCATGTATTAAACAAATTCTGGAGATTTTTCTTTAAAAGTATATAAGGTAAAAAACTAAAGCCATTGAAAACAGACCCAGTTTGTTCCTTCTAGTTGGCAATAAAAAGAGGAAGCAGTATAGCCAGCAATCCCTGATGTGAGAGCATATATGACGACCAAGGCAGTGAACAACGCTCCCCGATTATAAGGATAGAATACACCAACCAGTGCCAGAATGAAAATAAAGATTGCCCTGTAAATGGGAAGGGTGGGGGGCCAAAAATAACATGAATATGACAAAAAGTTCATTTGACAATTTTAAAGGGAGAAGCTATTGGATTACTCCAATTTATGAGGAGAGGTCCAAGGTATACTTACAGGGTAAATAACTGAGTACCAGAACCCAGGGCTGCAGCCAGCAAAGATTTGTACTTCGGATACCTGAAAACATCACCATGGATGTATTTCCACCCTGTTTCTTCTTGGTCATCAGCAGCTTCCTCATCATGAGCATACCTTTACAGTATAAGTAATAAGTTCATCATCAGTAAAAGGGTGAGAATAAGTTGGCAAATAAAAAAATCAATAAAGGATGCCTACTTCACAAAATCATTCTTAAGGACCCGCATAAGAATAGTAGCCAGAAAACCAGTCAGGAGGAGAACCGTCACACAGGAATTGATTATTGAAAACCAATGAATTTCCAAGTGGTGTGGCAATGATGAAGACTGCGAGTACTTCTCCATTCTCTTCTCAAAAGGAGTATTTGTTTCCTTCCATTTCACAGAATACATGAATTCTACGTCAACTTCTTTGTCCTCAGTGATGTCAACAAGGGCATTAGGATCAGTCCGTGCATTGATCTCAACCACACGATCATTGTTGTAAAAGATCTCAAAATGAAGATGTTTGAATAGGTAATATTTGAATTCGCTGGGGTCAGATTTTCCATCCTTATCAACCTTTCCAAGAAAACCCCAAATGGGAAGGTCATCATAGTACATTTGGAAGTAGTAATCCTTGGCAACAGCATCACGGAATTGTGCAACTTCTTTCTGTGACAGTGTCCTCTTGCAAATTATTTCCGAGTCCTTGTCATACATAAAGTCAAGCTTGTAAGGGGCACTGACCAAACGATCACCATTCAAGACTTCACCAAGGGCTTCCTTTTTCTCGTCCACATGCTCTGTCAAGAATGTCAATAAGTTCAGAATTAGAACAATATACCAAATTAATGACTTCAGAACTATAATAATATAACAAATTAATAAATTCTGAATTTTAACAATACAGCAACTTTGGAGAAGATAACGTCATCATGATTCCTAACCTGGAAGACAGAAGGGGAGATCAAAATAGCGGTATGTTTCACTGCATATCGAAAAAGAAAAACTCATGCAGTTAGTCATACATCACAACTACTTAAGTGCATGAACAGACACTAAAGCGCACACATCAATCCATTGAACACTAGTTCTGGCCTGACTCACAACTACATAAGTGCATGCAGAAAGACTGAAGTGCACACTTCAATCCAGTGAACACTAAGTTCTAGTTTAACAACACAATTTCTATATGTTTTGAGTTGCATGCTTGCAAGTAACCTATGCTCAATGTAGAAGTGCCTTATGGTTGTTGCCTTTGTGAAGATTGATATACCTTTTTTAACACCCTCTGTTTTCCCTTTTGATTTTATTAATTATTCATTATCCAGAAATAGTATTCCAATAAAACTCACTCAATCAGTCTTTGATTCCTAAAAGAAAACTAACATGCTCTTCACTAAAATTTTAGTTGACCATTTGACTTCAATAATTGATTATTAATTGTTTGGAAATAATATCCGAATATAACTCTTTGTTTATCCAAAACCAGCATTTTTATTTTGATTTAGAGAGGAATTTTATCGTGAAAAAAGATCAAACATTCTTGATTTGATATGACAGCCATAGTAGTCAAATAATATAGTCCATAAACTCAATATTATTGAGGAGCCACAAAATCAATACTCAGTATGTTATACATCAGTGTATTCATCATTCTTTTAAACAGCACTTCCATTACACATGAGTTGTAGATGCTAATTCCATCGCCTATAGTTCTTTTACAAAAGGTAGAATATAACCAAAGTTGATTCAAACTGGGCAATTAATCTAACATGGAAAAGAAGAAAAACTTCAAAGTTTTAAAAGACAACTTTAGTGTGACCAATTATGTCTGTCATAAAACTCAATCCCTGGCGCATGGAAAATGAACTAGAAGAATATTATTGTGCTGTGCACCTAGATTTAGAATACAGTATTCATTACATTCAGAGAATTTATTCTGTAACTTCCATCCCAACTAGAAGAACCTGAACTTTAAGAAGTAGAAACAATAGTTGGGAGCCCGGTCAATCCCTTCTCCCTTCTTTTTATCTCAAATATTCAGTGCATTCTTTTTAAGCCACACCTCTATCTTTGGCACTATATCCTAAACCCTCCAAAGATCTAACTGTAGCTTATCCTTGTCCATGGCATGAGACAAATTCACTCAACCAGATGCTAAACAAAGTGGACCATCGCAAATTCAGATTCCAACTAAAGCTAACAATTTGTCCTTTTACTTGTCCGAGAAAAGTATATTGGTCCCAAATTTTAATATAGATACCTCAACTGAAAGCTAAGGAATTTCACAAATCACAACACTGAAAATTGACGGAAAACTCAAAAGCACAATATATCTCATTCATTTTCACATCTACCTACAATCACAGCAAACATGATTACCTAATTACGAAGATTTTCAAATATAATTCAGCTGAACAGTATGAATAAGCTTTGCGTGTGTTTTAAAGACAAAAGTGGACCACTTCCAAACACCTAAATGTGGCTTATCCTTGTCGGTGGCAGCAAGAGGGAGGACACAATTTCACTCATCCGGATTACAAACAAAGTAGACCACTCGCATATTCAGATCCCAGCAGAATGCTAACAATTTTTCCTTCTAATTATCCCAGCAAAGTAGATTAGTCCTAAATTAATCTAAACACCTCTACTGAGAGCTAAGAAATTGCATGAAATCATAAGTGTGAGTGACATTGACCGACAACCTCAACAGCACAAAACTCCTCGCTCATTTCGACATCCACCGACAACCACATGAGCATGATTAGGCTAATTATGAACAGAACTTGCAAATTTAATTCGACCTAACAGCATG